TCGGTGACTGTTGAGCTCCGTTTTATGTTGTCCGTGACTGTTAAGCTCTTTTATATGTTTTCGGTGACTGTTAAGCTCCTTTTTATGTTGTCGGTGACTGTTAAGCTCCGTTATATGTTGTCGGTGTCTGTTAAGCTCCGTTATATGTTGGTGGCGACTGTTAAGCTCCGTTAAATGTTGTCGGTGACTGTTTAGTTCCGTTATATGTTTTCGGTGACTGTAAGCTCCGTTATATGTTGTCGGTGATTGTTAAGCTCTATTGTATGTTGTCGGTGACTGTTGAGCTCCGTTTTATGTTGTCGTTGACTGTAAAGCTCTGTTATATGTTGTCGGTGACTGTTAAGCTCCGTTATATGTTGTCGTTGACTGTTAAGCTCTGTTATATGTTTTCGCTGACTGTTAAGCTCTGTTATATGTTGTCGGTGTTAAGCTCTGTTATATGTTGTCGGTGACTGTTAAGCTCTGTTATATGTTGTCGGTGTTAAGCTCTTTTATATGTTGTCTGTGACTGTTAAGCTCTGTTATATGTTGTCGGTGACTGTTAAGCTCTGTTATATGTTGTCGGTGACTGTTTAGCTCTGTTATATGGTGTCGGTGACTGTTAAGCTATGTTATATGTTGTCGGTGACTGTTAAGCTCCGTTATACGAAGTCAGTGTCTGTTAAGCTCTGTTATATGTTGTCTGTGACTGTTAAGCTCCGTTATATGTTGTCGGTGACTGTTACGCTCTGTTATATGTTGTCGGTGATTGTTAAGCTCTGTTATATGTTGTCGGTGACTGTTAAGCTCCGTTATACGTTGTCGGTGACTGTTAAGCTCCGTTATACGAAGTCAGTGTCTGTTAAGCTCTGTTATATGTTGTCGGTGACTGTTAAGCTCCGTTATATGTTGTCGGTGACTGTTAAGCTCCGTTTTATGTTGTCGGTGACTGTTAAGCTCTGTTATATGTTGTCGGTGACTGTTAAGCTCTGTTATATGTTTTCGGTGACTGTTAAGCTCCTCTATATGTTGTCGGTGTCTGTTAAGCTCTTTCATATGTTGTCGGTGACTGTAAAGCTCCGTTATATGTTGTCGTTGATTGTTAAGCTCTGTTATATGTTGTCGGTAACTGTTAAGCTCTGTTATATGTTGTCGGTGACTGTAAAGCTCTATTGTATGTTGTCGGTGACTGTTAAGCTCCGTTTTATGTTGTCGCTGACTATTAAGCTCTTTTTTATGTTTTCGGTGACTGTTAAGCTCTGTTATATGTTGTCGGTGACTGTTAAGCTTTGTTATATGTTGTCGGTGACTGTTTAGCTCTGTTATATGTTGTCGGTGACTGTTAACCTCCGTTATATGTTGTCGGTGACTGTTAAGCTCCTTTATATGTTGTCGGTGACTGTTAAGCTCCGTTATATGTTGTCGTTGACTGTTAAGCTCTGTTTTATGTTTTCGGTGACTGTTAAGCTCTGTTATATGTTGTCGGTGACTGTTAACCTCTGTTATATGTTGTCGGTGACTGTTAAGCTCCGTTATATGTTGTCGGTGACTGTTAAGCTTTGTTGTATGTTGTCGGTGACTGTTTAGCTCTGTTATATGTTGTCGGTGCCTGTTCACCTCCGTTATATGTTGTCGGTGACTGTTAAGCTCCTATATATGTTGTCGGTGACTGTTAAGCTCTATTGTATGTTGTCGGTGACTGTTGAGCTCCGTTTTATGTTGTCCGTGACTGTTAAGCTCTTTTATATGTTGTCGGTGACTGTTAAGCTTTGTTATATGGTGTCGGTGTTAAGCTCTGTTATATGTTGTCGGTGACTGTTAAGCTCTGTTATATGTTTTCGGTGTTAAGCTCTGTTATATGTTGTCGGTGTTAAGCTCTTTTATATGTTGTCGGTGACTGTTAAGCTTTGTTATATGGTGTCGGTGTTAAGCTGTGTTATATGTTGTCGGTGACTGTTAAGCTCTGTTATATGTTGTCGGTGTTAAGCTCCTTTATATGTTGTCGGTGACTGTTAAGCTCTGTTATATGTTGTCGGTGACTATTTAGCTCCGTTTTATGTTGTCGCTGACTGTAAAGCTCTGTTATATGTTGTCGGTGACTGTTAAGCTCCGTTTTATGTTGTCGGTGACTGTAAAGCTCTGTTATATGTTGTCGGTGAATGTTAAGCTCCGTTATATGTTGTCGGTGACTGTTAAGCTCAGTTTTGTGTTGTCGGTGACTGTTAACCCCTGTTATATGTTGTCGGTGACTGTTGCTCCTTTTTATGTTGTCGGTGACTGTTAAGCTCTGTTATATGTTGTCGGTGACTGTAAAGCTCTGTTATATGTTGTTATATGTTAATTTTCACATTCCTGTCTTGGTTAAGCGACGGATCGCCCTGCAAATTTGACAAATATCTTTGTCTGCACTGTCGTTATTACTTCTTTGCCCATATATATCTATTTAAGGACGGAATTAATTTATCTTAGTCTTAACATATGTTTGCAAGGACCAGTGTTATTCGGGAATCTAGCGTTATACTACTTCTTTGACCTATACATACAGGTCACATGTTGTCACTCCAGCGTTCGTCCCAAAACTGCCCGACCCAACACCATCACACTAAATTTTATTATTTCTCACACTCGGACCACACACAATATTCTGTTCCCAAGACCAGGTAATTTCTCAATCAACATCTCTCCCCAAATCTCACATCCAATCTGTCAACATTGTATTTGCTCCATTTATCAAACCATTTCACTTCATTTAAACTTCACTCCCTATCTTAGAACAAATAAACAATCTCGGACCCTCTCCAGTCACCCTCTGATTTACACAGCTGGCCAGCTCTGACACTCGCCCTCTTATCATCCTATTTATTCTTAATCATTGACTGTCTGTCACCCTATCTAATTGTTTTCTCCTCTCACTTTCAAAAAGATAGCACTCATATATGCTAACTATTTATTAGTACTTCATTACGAATATAGTCAAGTAAAGACTGTTTATTTGAGTGTCATATATCAAAATTACGCTGATACACTTTATAAGTACATAATTACATGGCACAAAACATATGGTTACTTAACAGGGATCAATCATCTTATATAAGATATTGTTTGGTTTGTTTGTGTCATTTAAAGACGTGCAAGGTTTTGGTTTTGGAGGGAAGCCTGAGTTATAGAGGCGTAAAACTAGCGACCTACGGCCAGTACCTGGTGACTGCTCCACGTAGGCCTTGAACCCGCGACCCAGGGGTGAAGGGCTAGTGATAGCAGAATGTCAGACGCGTTAACCACAAATAATCATAACGCGCTAACGTGTTATTCACTTTGTCTGCAAACACGGAACAGAATGCTATTTTATGCTTAAATATTCTCATCGCGTGTTTTATGGCAGTAATTTAAGGAGTCGCGGTAGGCTGACATTTTGCATGGATTCTCTCCCCCATATGCTCATGTAGTTTCTTGGAACACCCTAGGACATATTTCGAGTGTGATCTTACTGAAATTTATAAAAAAAAAACTACTATTATGCAACACAAAAATCACCTCTGCTGTCACATTAATAATTGTTTTCAGGTGGGTGAATTCAAAGAGGACACACGGACAGGGTTGCCAGTTGTAACAGCATCAAAGAGGACACACGGACAGGGTTACCAGTTGCTGCAACATCAAAGAGGACACACGGACAGGGTTGCCAGTTGTAACAGCATCAAAGAGGACACGCGGACAGGGTTGCCAGGTGTAACAGCATCAAAGAGGCCACACGGACAGGGTTGCCAGTTGTAACAGTATCAAAGAGGACACACGGACAGAGTTGCCAGTTGTAACAGCCTCAAAGAAGACACGCGGACAGGGTTGCCCGTTGTAACCGCATCAAAGAGGACACGCGGACAGGGTTGCCAGTTGAAACAGCATCAAAGAGGACACAGGGACAGGGTTACCAGTTGCTGCGACATCAAAGAGGACACACGGACAAGGTTGCCAGTTGTAACAGCATCAAAGAAGACACGCGGACAGGGTTGCCATTTGTTACAGCATCAAAGGGGACACACGGACAGGGTTGCCAGTTGTTACAGCATCAAAGAGGACACACGGACAGGGTTGACAGTTGTGACAGCATCAAAGAGGACACACGGACAGGGTTGCCAGTTGTAACAGCATCAAAGAGGACACACGGACAGGGTTGCCAGTTGTGACAGCATCAAAGAGGACACACGGACAGGGTTGACAGTTGTGACAGCATCAAAGAGGACGCACGGACAGGGTTGCCAGTTGTAACAGCATCAAAGAGGACACACGGACAGAGTTGCCAGTTGTAACAGCATCAAAGAAGACACGCGGACAGGGTTGCCATTTGTTACAGCATCAAAGGGGACACACGGACAGGGTTGCCAGTTGCTATAGCATCAAAGAGGACACACGGACAGGGTTGCCAGATGTAACAGCATCAAAGAGGACACACGGACAGGGTTGCCAGTTGTTACAACATTAAAGAAGGACATTGTGGCTGTAAAAGCAATAATTAACTTAATTCAAGAATGATGGTCGTTATACTAATTCCGAGATAGCTCATATAGGCAGGAAACATCACATTCTGACCAAGTTCTTGAAATTTTAGGAAATATGTGCCCATTTCATCCTCAAATTGCTGACATCTGAACAAAAAAGGCCAAACGGTTGAAATGTTCTATTGAAAAAAGTGTTTGTCAAGAAATCAAGAAAGGCCATTGATTGCCATACGTATTAAAAGCACCAAGAATGTTTTGTCTTCCTGTTTCCTTTACTAACGAAAATGCTCCCTGGGAAACGGTATGCCTCTTGGAGTGCCCTGGGTAGTGCAATTTTTCAAGTGTCTCGTCAGTATACTAATGGGAGTCTACAGCGCAGCGATTGCGAAATTGCGTTTCTGCTCAGGGGGATACTTCGAAAGATCGAACTATGTACATCATATTTGCGATTTATGTTACTAGTGACTGAATATATTGAATGACCCTCGTACTAGCTATGAACTATAAAAGAAAGACAACGATTCAAAGTTTAAAGATGGGATTTATTTAAATGAAATAACACATATTATCATAAAGTCTACAATATGTACACAGTACAATCATAGATACATCAGTAGTTAGGACGTTAGTGACGACCACCGGTAGTGACCAGTGGTGATGACCACTAGTGATGACCACTAATGATGAGCACCAGTAGTGACCAGTGGTGATGACCACTAACGATGACCACTAATGATGACGTTAATGATGACCACCAGCAATGACCAGTAGTGATGACCCGAGTAGTTACCGGAAGTGAAGACCACTGATGATGACCACTAGTGATGACCATCAGCAGTGACAAGTGGTGGTGACCACCACTGATGACTCATGGCGGGAACATATATAACACTTATAAACACAGGTGGGTACATTTGACGGTACAGACACGATATCACTGTATTTGTTTCCAATTTTAAAATATCGTCATTAACAAATACGGGTGCGGTAATGCCAATAAAACATTAACACCAATAACAATAGGGAATACGTTTAAATTAAACAATGCCGCCTTCTCGTTTTTCGTTACTTGATTCGTGGTCAAGTGCTGATGTGGAGAAAACTAAACTAGGAAACAGTAATATTGTCTTTCATGTTCGCCAATGTTTCAACGATATTCAATAATGAAAATGATACAAGTACTGTATTTGAAAGATGAACGTAACACACACACCCACACAGTATGCCAAAACTAAATTTCACAGCATCATACAGCTGTAAACATGAGTGATCGTTGAAGAATTAGACACAGTAAACCACTTTGCGGTTATGCTCCATATACGTTTGTATCTTCACAGAAAGGAATAAATACTAAAGCACGTTTGTAAACACTTCATATACGATTTGATTAACGAATGGCGCATCTTCGATATCCAGGGGTAACACTTACGCTCTGGATGTCGAGGATGTGATTGGCGTTACTAGCGAAAGACAGAAATATTATATTATAATTCTTAATCAAATTTTGCCGAGGCTTCCGACACAGCCAAGAGATTACGAGTCATTCACCCCACTACACATCTGGTTTGCTCGATCAGAGTTCATACTGCAAATTTTCGGACAAATAAAATGTGAAAAGTATCACAGTGCATTTTGGGAGCATGCTCCTCTATAAACGGTTTTCATTTACGTTTTTATCACACAAGCAAATCTATTGATATCAACACAACAAGTGTATTTTAATATTGTCCTTTTTATATATCACGCTCCAGGGTGACGGTGTTTTAAAGTCCTCGCCCTCCATCCCTCGCGAGAGACCACGAGAAGGCACTCAAACACATGTTGGTTATTGTTCTATTTTGAGCTGTTCCTTCCTAAGCCATATGTTCAACTGACCCGTCTTTGCACGTGACACAAGCCAAACAAATTCCAAACAACTGTAATGAGAGTAAATAAAGTCATATTTAATATATGTATCTGATGTGTTAAAGTAGTTCAGCTAATGTTGTGTGAAACGCAATCTCGACAGCTGTGCGGAAATGAACATAATATTGCATTAATATTACATTAACACTCACCATTTCACTTTTACATTGAACCCTTTAACAAGAATCTTAATGCTGGCGGACATATTGCATACAACCTCTCACCAATATTTTACATAAATCGTAATATTGACATATATATCACCAAGAGTCGCTCATCAAGGTATTACATAAGATATATAAAATATATTCCTTATGCATGAACCCGTCCTCGACTCGACACTCCAGGATTACAAAATCGGAAGCACGCAGTAAGCTATTTGATTGGTTTCATGTAAAAATAAATCTGACCAATCGGTAGGCTGATACCTGTCTTTTGAAGATTAAAAAGGACCGAAACCCGACTTCAAAGCTGGTAAATTGTACCGTTATGCTGCTGCGTGATCCTTGCAATGTTCACCAAAGGATCAAACTAGTCTATTTGACTCATCCACAAGGTGGCGCGAACAGAGCCTTCGATTTCGTCATGACATATTTCCGGGATGAAGAGAACGTTAATAAACGTAACCTCTAGAATTTCAGGGTTGGCATGAACCTTGTAACTGACAAATACATCGCAGTACAGTCACGCACTAAGGCATTACACGAACCATATTCGCAATGCATAAAGTTAAGTATATAATTGTTAGTACTTCGTTAATGCATTATTGGAAAATGATTAATTAATTAATTAAAATATTTGGGATTTCAGTTTAAATGGCTTTAGTACAAATATATATATATTTTCTTAATAAAGTACTTAATTAAATCAGCTCATCATTGAACCGCCTACCTTTCCATTACAAAAGTTTATACAGTAAAATTGTTTTGGAGTTAGAGTTTGAAATCAAGGTGATAATTACAGAAATTGTTATGCATCAGATTATCAGGACACGAAAAAATAAATATTTTTCACATAATTACAGCAAAACCATGCCATACTGCTTTCATTTGTCAAGCAACATGTTGTCATTATCATGGTGTTGTAAGATATATTGAGCGACGCATATATCAACAAAAAGGAAAAAGGACCTTGAAATATGTTTGCAATAGTCTGGGTAGTGTTATATCGAAGTTCCATAATGTGTAGTCTTTAATTAATTTTTAAGCAACAAATAATTTGGTTCAAAGACACAAAAGTGAAAAGTACAACAACATCTATTATTAGGAGGAAAAAAGTAAGAAAAACTTGAAATATATTGGCCGTATGCCGGGTGGCATTATGGTCGAGTTTTACTGAACGTAGTTTGGAAATGTGTGGTTCAGATTCAAACTTAAAGAAAAAAAGATACAACCGAAACGTGCGACCTTTCCTTAATAATAAATCATGGCAATAACATGTAATAATTGATTTGTAACAACAACAACAACAACAAAAGGGGCGGAAAATGTTTCTGATACTTACGTATAGTATTGGAAGCTATAAGGAATTCTTGGATAGTTAGGTAAAATATATCATATCAAAACAGGTCACTCCATTCTAATTCATGCGCCACCCTAACCTAGTTTCCCACCTTCCATGATAATATAATACCAAGGAATACGAAGCAACTATTTTACCAACATAACAAATCCCCGCAGACAACAAAACAAAGTTGTATTTACTGTAAAACGTGCAAGAATAATTCCAGCTACAAGGTAACGGCTAATCTAAGAGACTAACAGTACATGCATATGGTCAACCACCTTATTATGTGCACTAATCACTAGAAATACGAAGTAAGGGGGCACCTGTTTAAAAACTTAGCAAGTTGACCCAGAGAGTCTAACAAAGTAAACATTCTACTGCACAATATGGTAATTTCATCAGTTATGACATCCTCAATACTACAGGGGTTACGCTCACTTTCGCTCAGTGGTCCCAGTTAAAAAAAACCTGACCAATCGCTAGGCTGATACCTGTCTTTTGACATTTACACAGGAGCGACACCCGACTCCAAAGCCAGTCAATTTTACCGTTACGCGACCGAGAGATTCTTTTGATGTACAACAAAGGATCAAATTAGTCTTTTCGTCTCGCCCATAAGGTGGCACACTGAGACTTTGATTTTGTTATGACATATTCTAGGGACACAGAGAGCGAAAGTGAGCATAACCCCTGGAGTATCGAGGAAACAGTTAGTTCTCATCAGTAGTACTGTTGATACAAGTAATCCGGAATATACGTAGGATGTAGCGAAAGGAGTTACAACTGCTCCACGTGACCATTTAATCCATAAACATCTAAAACCAATGACACGATATTATTCAAATAAACACTTTTTGTATCAACAGAAACTAATGAATATAAAAGTTTCTTGTTATATGCAAAGGAAGTATGTTTCCTATTTGGGACCGATTTCTGAATGTAACTTATCAAAATTTTCCTGTTTAATCGTATTTCTGAATATTGCTTATTAGTGAATCGCTTGATTTGACCCACTTTTCATGTTACTTATCGAACTTTCTTGTTTGGAACTAATTTCTGAAGTTTGCTTATCGGACTCCCCTTTTTAGTGTTACCTTTTGTTTTAAACCAATTTCCTACTGATTTCTATTGTACTTACCGGAAACATTGCGATTGCGATAGCCAGGCCTATGATTAATGTAAGATGACTGGACAGCAGATCATTAAATTTCGGGTAGCATCCCTATAAAAGAAAAGAAAAAATTATATCATGCAATCTGCTACTCTCTAAACGAGGCATTTATTGTACCAATCGAAGAATTTACTTTATTTATAGCTTAAATGGCTCATTTCTGTTTGCGGTTATATGGCCATTCATTAAAAAAAGTTGGTTTGAGCGGTGAGGTTTAACGTTGGAGAGGAAATTGAGTAATGCACTTTTCTTTGGTTTGAGCTTTATGAAATTCAATCGCTTTTCCTATGCTTTGCATATTTCATAAAACGAATCTGTTGTTTTCCAGAAAACATTACCTCCTTTTTCAGTGTTTTACCCTTTCAAATACAGTCCAATTCTGTACAATTAAATTTGGTCCATGTGGTGTAACATAATTGTAAATAAATTGATATCAGAAGTACACTGTTCAAACGGTCGAATTAGGTCGTCGACGCCTAAGAGGAGATATATCATTATATATAACTAAATGATTACCTGGTGTAGGTATCAGTAGATAATACAGTTGACTTAACTAGTCGTATAGATATACAATTGTATGTAGATATTATACATAACTGTTCACATATATGTATACAACAAGCTTGATTTATTTGGTCACATATTTACGAGTATATGTTAAATTTCGTACAGATATGTAAATATTAAACTTGATTTACCTGTTCGTACATATAGGGTGTATATACAACACGTGAATTAACAGATCGTACATATTTTGTCTATATTTTACGCTTCACTTACTTAGTCGTACAGATTTACCAGGTATCACAAATACTCCTGACTTACCTGATAGTATATCATTTTGTTCCTCAACTCTTAACACTTGACTTACCTGATATACAAATTAACAAGGTCCCACAGTAACACCACAGTTACCTGATATACAGATTAACAAGGTCCCACAGTAACACCACACTTACCTGATATACAGATAAACAAGGTCCCACAGTAACCCCACACTTACCAGATATACAGATTAACAAGGTCCCACAGTAACACCACACTTACCTGGAATTATAGTATGTGTTCCTCAGCTCTTTACGCTTGGCTAACCTGGTCGTACAGATAAACAAGGTCTCATAAATACACCAAACTTACCAGGTATTATATTAGTTCCTCAACTCTTTACGCCTGATTGACCTAGTTATACAGATTAACCAGGTTTCCCTAATACACCTGAATTACTTTGTGTCATTGATGTTGCTCAACACCTTACACTTGACTTACCTGGTTGTATAGGGAGGTGTAAGTAGCACCCTTTTTCCCTGGTGTTTGTGCAGCCTCGGTTTGGCAGATGGTATCATTGGTTGCTGGGTTACAACACGAATTTGGCACAAGCTAAAATAAATTTCAATTTTATAAAATTTCTTTTGATTAAACAAATATGGAATATTTAATGAAAAGATCATAATGTCATCTTCCTCGAGGCTTGGATCTGTTTCCGTTTTTATAATACGGTATTGATACATCAATCATATTTATTTAATATATTAAGCAGCTTTCTTTGTGATATGGCTAAATATATTCTACCATCTGGGCCAAGAAGAATGATAATCATGAGTTCATTGAAGTTATTTCACAATTTTAAATTTATTTGTTTTTGTATTAGAATTTTATCCAATACTGAAATGACGTGATTTGAACGAAATGCGTTATGACGTCATGGGAAAATGAAAACAAAAATGGTCTTACATAAGATCGCTTGCCCTTGATTACGACAATTACTTACCTGGGTTCCAGAGAAAGTGACGTTGTTCTTGGCGTAATCCGCATAATTTTGTATACCACAACAGGAAAACTGAGGAAAATGAAATACATATCAATACACTAGAGTTTACGTCACATATAAAAAAATAAAACACTTATTGGTTGTGCAACACGAATCTTTCCACGAATCCTTCCTTATCAACCTGAGGAAAATATTTAGAAACACTAGCGTTTATATCAATTGAAATCTTGTATTTAAGATATTTCTTTATGTACAATAGTTTAACATTTATAAACAAAGTTGTCGAAAGTAATAGCAATTTAGATTTTATCCTGATAAATACCACCCTTTTTGGAAACAGCATCATATCTACAGCCAGCTTTCGCCGCACCAGACAAAAATCATCTTAAACCACAAGTTATCTTACTGCTACGGACAATGCTATCCTATTATATAAAATAAAGGGATAATTTGTTGACTATTTTTGTACCAGTTTCTGTACTTCGTCCCATGTTTTGGTGACTATGTCGTTTGCGTTTTTGGGTTTGTAGGTCTTCAATGTGCCGGTAAGAGCATCATCCAATTCATCAGAAATCTGAAAATCAGTTGACATACGATGTATAATTATACCATAATGCTTAGAAAAGAAAAACAGCTTTACATAATTAAATGAATACAAATAAACATATCAACAATGTTCCAACACGTGTTCGGGTTTTGCCCTTCCAGAGGCAGTGAATGGTCCTAAACATCCATAGTTGAAGACGGAATTGTTTAATATTTACACATGGATGTGAGATAGAATTGTGGTTTTTCCTCCCTGATGCTTGTTTAAGCATGGATTTAAGCTTGCATTTAGGTTTCAGGTATACATGAGACATGAAATAACGAAAGAATGAACACACGTTCTCACTAGACATTGTTCCCTTTCGGCATGTTTAACACTCAACAAGCATACACCAAAGGTAAGGCAACCATTGACCATTATTTTCCGATTACTACGAATGTGTTTCTCCCAGAGGATATCCAAGGGTTTGTGTCAGCTCGATATTTATTTTCAGGACTACATGTCCTTATTTGTTCTTACCTTGCCTTTGAAGACGGCTGCCAATATACCTCCCGAAAGTTCGCCAATAAAAATGATAGTGACAAGTCCTATATACTGTAATAAAAATAATAGCATTGTATTTATCCTTACTCCAGCTTAATTCACTCACCCCTGAAATTTCATAATGAACCATTCCAACCTTTGAATTGGAAGAGTTCAAATGTGTCTTCAGGGGTATATGAGTTAAGGTATATAATAAGCTAAGCGTATCTCAAATTACATCCAAATCTTACAACTTCAAGAACAATAACACCTGAGCTACTGTGATGCATTTCTGTTCTCAGATAATTAATGAAAAGCACATAAATTGCAATTACTCCTTAGCTGGTGATTTTAATTCACTAGAGTGTTAGCACAAACAAATATCACATAGTAAAAGGGACAACCATAGCGTCAACATACAAGAAACTAATGAGAAACCCAACGGATAACAAGGACAGGACTGAAACCACAAACAACCTAAAAATAACCCAAATCACTTGGGAACGGGGAAGGGTTTCCAGTAGCAAATGTTAAATAGTGTGCCTCCTTCAATTCAGGAAATATGAAATCCCTAATGACAACTATAAAGTGTAGATTCAATCAAGACAATGAAGCCATTTATCAAATCTGTTAAGAAAAAGGGAGGGGAATCACTGATACACTAATATACGTACAATCCCGAGGAAGCATTTGTTCTTCTTAATCCCTCCGACACAGCCAAATACCCCTATGGCCAGTACCAACACTCCGAATATGATAAGGATCCACCCAGCAGTGGACAGGAACTTGTCACTGGCGTCCAACTCTATCAGCTTCTGGACGTTCAACAACTGTGGGTCTGCTTTCACCCAGATTCCGGCCCCAAGAACTCCAATACCGAACAACTATGATATAGATAAGAAAGGTTGATTTAATGCAAATAACTTTGTTCCGAAACTATATCACTCTTACTTAGTACAGAAAGGTAAGATCAAGGTATATTGATATAAACATATTACTATACATGTACACTTGGAATTTTTGCCACAGATATATTTGCCCTCCGTAAATTGGCGAAACAGGACGAACGTTTTTCTGGGTGAAATTTCCCCTTTTAGTAGTTATGTAACATGTTTACGACATACAATATATTTGTAGGACCAGTCTACCATGACTGGAATTCGCGAGTTTTCTTTTTTTTTAACACGGCTATATATGTTGCAGAAAGTTTTGCAAATTAGGGACACTCTGCTTTTGTTGCTATTGTGTTACTGTCTGGAAATTTGGTAAACTTATAAGTATTGCTCGAAAGTGTCACGTTACTTATATTCATGTTAGAATTGATCAGTAAAAAATTCACATATTTCATAAGGACAAAAAGTGATAACCTTGTATATGCTGAATTCGTGACGTAATAATACACATGATATCAGCAGAGATATCAATAATATGATCTAGTACATATCATGTTCGAACAAGTTCCGTCAGAGCTCATGCAAAACAGCTCATCCAAGTCTACTCATCCATTATGAAGAATCATCTACATTCTCATTTATAATACATGCATCAATACATACTTATATTAAATGTTTTCAATACGGATTATCTGGGGAATTTAAAATGAACTCATTGTTACTTGGGAGATATAGAAATCAAAACACAAACACGTATATATATGCTGACGTCATGTAAGTATATCTGTTGCAACGAAATACATCAATGCATATGTCTCGCTGTTAGCTGAACGAGTATTATATATATATATAATTAATAAGTATATATCAGAATGGATATCAAAAAATGAGCTAATGCTGTCAACTTACCACAAATATGACATTAAAGGCCACAAAAATGAACCTGGCGAATCCTTCACATATCCCCATAGTGCTGGAAAACACAAAACATTATCGCTTTATTCAGTGTAGACTTACTACTATAACAGTCACCTTACCGGACCAGATGTCGTTGTAACACCATCACACTACTCTGATTAATGAAACTCTCAGTGAAAATCTCTGCCAAGTGCCTCAGGTTCCAAGGTTGATATTGTTACTCTGTTACCACAGTTACCGTACTTTTTATCAATGATTACGTTATCATTTGTAATGTTTAATTAGATTATATAATGGTATGCAGCAGTTGTATCAATGTTGACAACAAGGACTCTTTATACATGATTTATTAAAGCCTTGATTACCAGACTTTACACATATACTTTTAGTTCGATTTTAATTACTCCAAAACATATATACATTAATTGTATTTCATGTTTTCTTCCTCCAGTGAAATATTTGCCCATCACTAAAACATATAGGAATATATCTTCACATAGTTATCACTGATGAGGTTTATATAAATATTACAAATAAGAAACCATTGGGTACGAATACAGTAGATTTAACAGTGGCATCGTCTCTAGGCCTTTCACCTATTCAGAGGCTCCTCATGGGGACAAAAAAAAGCAGGTACACTTGTATAACAATATACGTACATTTTACTTTATTATATTCGAGTAGCATATTATCCTTTATTGAACAATAATTATTATATAAACATACTAGACTGGCCATCGTTTCTAGAATATTAAATAATGAAAAAAAACTAACTCTTATAATTTTGATCACTTGGATCTCTGATTCTAACTAGGGGGAGATAAGCTAGTAGTAAAATGCAGTCGAGAAATTCTTCATAAAAACTTAGGGGCTGGTGGCCAGTCTATAAACATACAAGCAGGCAGTAAATTGTAGTGCCCTTATCTAACGTTACATACATAAACCCATGACCAGGTAAGTTAAATAACAGACAGTATATTCATCCTTAGTACAGTACATGATACTGATAAAGATAGCTGTACTGCTGTTATCGGCCTCCTGCTTTGACGAGTGCGAGATAAGTGGTATCTTGTTCGTTCGATGGCTGACACGATATTGATAATACCCGGTATATTTATTTCAAACGCCCATTGTTGTATTGTATACTTATTGTAAAACAGTAAATGTGGTATACTTCTTGTAAAACACTAAATGCTGTAAACGTTTTGGGAAACACTAATTCCTGTAAACATATTGTAAAACACTAATTCCTGTTAACGTATTGTAAAACATTTATTGCGGTATACTTATTGTAAAACACTAATTGCTGTTTATTTATTGTGAAACACTAAAAGTTGTATAATTATTGTAAACATTTATTGCTGTATACTTTGTAAAAAAAAAAATATGCTGTAGGCGTTTTGTTAAACACTCATTGTTAAATACTTATTATAAATCACCAATTGTTAAATACTTATTGAAAACTACTAATGGTATACATATTGTAAATCATTAATAGTGTATATTCATAGTAAAACACATAATGCTGTATAATTATAGTAAACCACTTAATGCTGTATACTTATTGTAAAACACTAAATGTTATATACTTACTTAATTCACTTAATAATGTTATACACTAATTTTAAATCACCGAATGTTGTATACTATGAACTGCTGTATATTTGTTGTAAATCACTAGTGACTAATTGACGTAATTAAACTATGTCATGCTAATAAGTCATGTTAAGATAAATTGGATGATATTCAATGCATGATTAAATGTTATTTTGTTTATTTTCTATACTTCTGTATCAAATTCCCTATTAGAACATCGAGATAATTCTACTTTCAATTAGAATGTGCATTTCAAGATACTGACAGAGACTGTGTAAGGCTATGTCATACAATGGCAAAATGAGAGCATGATTATTTTTTTCAGAGCGGAGTTAATCAATCAGGTCTATCATTAAAAACACTTTGCAGCTAGAAATCCTCAACGAAAACAAATAGTCTATATTTCTTGATCTCGATGTCCAAACTACACTCAGTGTGTACTGATAAGTCGGGCCTTTCTCCACCACAAAATCAATACACGTCCTTAATGACCATAGCTGTTAAGAGGACGTAAAACGCAGACAAATCACATAATGAGAAATTCCTTGAACCCGTCTCAACATGACCAAAACTACCGGTTAGTTTACAATAACGATTTTCTGATCTTGAACTTTCCCTTTCTTGAAAGTAGCAGCCCTACCCCCCCC